GTTTCTGGTGTCCTTTGACAGCTCTTTGGTCTTGGCCATAGTGGAGTTTGGAGTGTGACTGTTTGAGGTTGTGGACAGGTGTCTTTTATACTGATAACGAGTTCAAACAGGTGCCATCAAGACAGTTAACAAGTGGAGGACAGAGGAGGCTCTTAAAGAAGAAGTTAAAGGTCTGTGAGAGCCAGAAATCTTGTTTGTTTGTAGGTGACCAAATACTTATTTTACGGAGGAATTTACCAATTAATTCTTTAAAAATCAGACAATGTGATTTTCTGGAATTTTTTTTCTCATTTTGTCTCTCATAGTTGAAGTGTACCTAGGATGAAAATTACAGGCCTCTCTCATCTTTTTAAGTGGGAGAACTTGCACAATTGGTGGCTGACTAAATACTTTTTTGCCCCACTGTATGTGTTTGTGTGTGTGTGTCCCAGCATCTGTAGCCTGTTATTGTCTCATTATACCGCACTGTGAATGAATTAAAAATAAATATATAAGTCGTCATGAACACATCTGTCCATCAGACAGAGTGCTGCTGTGCCTCCTGTTATCATTAATGGACGTCTCTTTAAAATGACCGTTCAGAGGAGAGGAGTTCTCATTTCTCTAACCGCCTGCTGTTTCCCCTCCTCGACTCTTCCGCTCGGATCTCCTGTGGTGACTAAGACACAAGGATAGGAGTCGAGGAGAGGAAACTCGAAAATGAGATACGGCCTATGTTTACTGAAGGTGTGTGCATCCAAAGGTCACGAGGTTAATGGTTATATTCCTAGGAACGGCTTAATAGTCTCAGCCACTAACCGCTATCTGCCTTTTACTGTTTGCATATAATAAAGTGGTCCAATAAGGCACCTGGTTTAGTTATTGAGCACTATACAGTCAATATACAGTCGTACTATTCCGCATGGTACCACTAGATGGGATGTGGAGTTTATTCAGGCGTACCAGATTACTGAAACTGTTTTGGTTAAGTGCTGGAAATAAAAAACACTGAGGCACATTCAAGTTTTAAACTTTTATCTTCATCTTGATTTACAAAAAGAAGAAGTTGTGATGATTTCACATAAAATAAACTCTTTCTATGACTAAAATTACTGATGGATACAAAGCACATCGTTTTTTAACATTGGCTAGTGTTTCTCCAGAATTCATAAATTGGTCATTTTCAATACAAATATTTGAATAGACAAAACTGACCCAAAAATTAGGGACACAAGCCGCATTTTAAAAATGAAGATCCAATGGCATCGCAAACTGAATTATTAAAACACTAGTGCAACTCATACAAAACAAACATTTGGAAAACAGTCTTTGTAATGTACGCAAGAGGATAAGGGCCAAATGTAATAGAACATGTTGGGATCTGACGGAAATTGAATTTTGTTTTAGTTCTAAAAAGGTCTGTGTATTTTCGAATTCTAGCGCACTCGAGCTGGTTTCTCTGAAATTACCTACCCCACCTTCAACGTCAGAATTGTGAGAATTTATTATTCAGACTTTTTTCTCAGAATTCTGACTTTGATCTCAGATTTCAAAAACAAATTCACTTTTGGTAAGATCTCCAAAAAGGTTTCACATGTGGCCCTTATCCTCTTCCGTAGTAATGGGAGTCTTTTGTGCACCTTACCAATCCAACTGATGTCCGATTGCAGATGAAGTTTGTGTCCCTTGTTTTGTAGACTGATTTGTTGTTTGGAGTTAAAACGACTGGAATCAAGCCAATAAGTTAAGCATAAACTAAAACTAAGGAGCATACAAATACATTTAAAAGCAGCTGGAACTTGGCTGTGTGATGCAGGTCTTTGGCGGTGACGTTCTCAGTTGGCATCCGTCACCATGATGTATACAAAGAGTCCAGCTGAGGGGAGGACGTCTCCGTTCTTATTGAGCAGCGGCACATGTCTGTATCCTGCGTCGGAGCATAGAGTGGTGACAGTCAGTCATCAGAAAATATGAAGAGCTCTTTGTCGCAGAGTGTCAATTGACTTTTCTATGCTCGGCCAGAGATGGGATAGTTCCCGTCTCTGTTCATTAATGAAGGGTGGAAACCAACGACAATCAGTGATTTTGATCAAACTCACCCATTCTTAAGCTGTTGAATGGGAGCGTGTACTGCCCCACAAACTCATTAGAAGTCGCCGAGTCGTGGTCTTCGACGGTGAAGCGCACCAGGGCCAGCTCAGGCACGTGCACGTTAAACTCCATGTTCTCATTCCATTCTGGGTTAAAACCTTCGACAGGAAAAATAAAGTGACACGTTATAATTACTGATGCATTCCTCGAATTCTTGGTGATCTTTCCACCTGCCTCTTCTTCTGCTTTAGAGGCTTTCCTCGTTCCCACAATGCATTTGTAAACAGCCCCCATGGCCGTACATGTGGTTAGCTAATAGTTTAACATGAAAAGGACGTATCTCAGAGTAAACAGGAAGTAACAACTGATGCCAAATCTTATATTTTCTGTGGCTGCATTGCATTCTGGTCTATTGAGGCCAGTAGCTGTAGAGACGCCATGTTTCTAAAAGGATGCTGAAGACACGACAAATAGTTTTTTCTTTATTTCACAACATTAACATTATGAAACTGTGTTGAAAATAAATAATTTACATTGGCTATGTTAAATGTAAAGTATGCCTTCAACCTGAAAAATTAAGATTTATTATTATTGCAGATATACATATCATTTTTACAAAATATAAATATATGGTTCTAGAGGGATTATTTTCCTTAGATAATAAAGCATTTAAAACATGTTGTGAAATATAACATCTAACTTGAATTAATGTTAACTTTTAAAATGTATAAAGCATGAGAGGTATTGGAAATATTCAGATAATACGGTCCAGAAGCAATCTCCTCCAGTCAGCACTGGAATCGTATTCTACCAAAAGTATAATACAAAGAACATGAGTGTAGCTTAATGTACAAAAACAGGCTGCAAAGCAAATGTAGAATTTGAATATCAACGTACTCGATTTAAACTTCAATCTTTAAAGAAAGTATACCTCCAAGAGATCAGAAAAAATGCTATCTTTAGTTAAAAAACGTGTGTATTGTGTTTTAAAGGGGAAGATACCATTGTTATCGATAGCACTGGTCTTTGCCTCTGCATTATCATCCGGCACTCCGTACACCTCCACCCTCACCAGCGGGTCCACGATGGAGGATTTCTTCTTGCTCAGTTTGGGGAGCTGCTGGCCTGAAATAACCTGAAGACAGGTTGCCCAGAACATGAAATCCTTTCTTCACCACAGCAGGATTTTAAAGGGATGGGACAGTGAGTTGTGTTTTATAACAGCTCACCATGATGTGGAGTGTCTTGTGCTGCAGCCAGTCTCCTCGGGTCAGTGTGACGGGGTCAAACTCTGAGGCTGGGTCCCTCATGTAGGCCGGTTTCAGGACGTAGCCGCTCTTTCCGTTAATAAGGAATCTGCCCTGGTTTACGTCCATGTCTGTGCAGGTTGTCTGGAAGTTAAGAGCCACTGAAAAGGAGGGAAGGTACAATGATGAATCAGAAATAAGAAGCTGCTTCCCATTGGTTAAATGTCAGAGTGGACTGTACATGTGAGAGTTTTTAAATCCCTTCCCGTGTCTGTATTACATACCGACTTGGCAGCCGGCGCTCCACAGAGGCACGGGGCTATAGTTGGAGGAGTTGGTCCTGGAGCCGGCTGGATATATGCGACTCAGCTTCTCCACGTTGTGATGGATGTAGGCATTAGCTGCAGAGGAAGCATGTAGGAAGAGTTATTTACAGAGTTTTTATATCATCACAGACACTTTATTACATTATGTGCCCTTTATTCTGAAAGAGGTGCCATAATAACTATTATCACCAAGCGAGGACAACTGGTGTCATCTAATGTTGAAATCCTTTTAGGTTTGCACAACTTCTCAGTAAATTTGAATCAAAACAGCTCTAAAAAATGTCAATACTTTTTGTGGTGGCCATGTAGGATTTTAAATACATAATGGTTTCCAAGTCAGCCCTAATTCAGAACTTAAACCTACAATATGTAATTATCTGCCACTAAGGGGCACTCATTTTAAGATAATAACAAAAGGCGGAGTTTGTTGGCACTGTCCTGAAGCCCTGGTTAGGATTTCCTCATCGTTCATTATTCAGGAGGTGTTTAACTGGAGCCGAATGATCTACAGAGATCTCCTCCTCTCCAAAACAAACAAACCACGTGATTAAAACCAGTAAAAACTCTAAATGGAGCAGTTTCGCGTAAAAACATCTGTGTTTTCCTGATGCGGGTTGGCTTCTGATGCTAACTCTTTCTTGGCTTGTCTCTCTGAACATGTGAGATCCAGATGTCAGATGACTAAAATCATGCAATAGGTTGAAATATATAGTTAAAATCCACTAAAGTTGAAATAAAAAATGTAAGGCTATAGAAAAATATTTGTGTTTTAAAACTGAATAAAAAGTCAATTTAGGACAGCTTCTGGCAGACCATGCTAGCGCTTTTAATTCACCCAAATAAAAACATTGCGTTGATTAAAACAACAGATTTGTCTATGTTTAAAAGTAATCTTAGAACCACATTCACATGAGTCTAAATATTTTTTGACATGTTGCATATTATACATTTGAAAAGTAATCTATTGAGGTTTGAATAGAAAAATGTATGTTTCTGAATACTAAACTACTAAACCTAAATTCTCTCTTACCCGACTCCGCTGCCAGCTCTAAGGCCTTGTTCTCCTTGAAGGACGACATCTCGTAGAAGCTCAGGTGTTGTCTGGCGTCCTCGAAGCCGTGGAAGTGGACGCTCTTACAGTAGACCACCATGTCGGACAGCGCCTTCGCCAGCTTCAGCTTCTTTTTCTCCTACAGAATCAATGTGAGTTCAAAAGTCTTGTAAAAATGTGTAAACGGAGATCATTTATTTACTCTCCTGATGCCATTACCCCACCTTCTTTTTCTCTTGCTCCTGATCTTCGTCGTCTGACTCTTCCTCCTCCGTCACGTCCTCTTCTTCATCTTCAGTGTTATCAGGAGCAAAAGTGGCCTCCAGTTTGTTTAACCTCTTTCCTTTGATCAGGAACTTTCCTTTCAGCTCCTAGAGGCGCACACACACGGTCATAAGGATGCGAGTAAGTAGCGGGAATAAGAACGTTTTACATAGAAAATAGGATAGGATAAAACCAAAGTAAAATGATACCAATAGATACGATACATACCTCTGGAGATGGAAAGCATTTGGGCATGCCATCCCCCAGGGGGGAGGTGACGAGGTCACTGCCCAGGATGGAGCTCATGTGGTGGGCCATGACTTCCTGCTGCTCCACGCTGCAGTGGTTCTCCAAGGAGAGGATAACCGGGTAATCGGACGTCTGAGAAAACACAGAGAAGTCAGAACAAGACAAACATTTTGCTAAGGGATATTAGTGGGTAGTATACACACCTTAAAGGCATACTCCTTGATGGCTTTGATGGCATCTTTGAAGAGGATCTTAGAAGTGAGTGTGTAGCCGTGGTAGATCTCCGGCTCACCTTCTGACCCGTCCCAGCAGTCCAGCTCCACACAGCGGCAGCCCTTCAGCAGAGCCCTGAGAGAGGCACAGCCAACATTAGGGATTGAAGAAATGCTCTGTCAGGCTGCTTGAGAGCAATCGTTGATAAACCCTTAAGGAGGCCCTATTATGCCTTGGTGACATCACTATGTAACACTCACGCTTCTATTGGCTAGCGCTCCACACATTGTATGGAATAGGCTAAGGGGGGGGGACATCTCTAAGTGGTTGACCAATCGCAACAGAGCCGGCCAGCTAACCAATCAGGGCAGACTGGGCTCAGCAAAAAAGAAAAAAGAAAATCCTTTTTCAACATTAAAGCATGAAAACATGTCACAGTAGAGGCATACAATATAATTATTCACTTCAAAATAATCTTTGAGCATTTGATGGTTAAAAAGAAAACTATAGAACTATGAAAAAATGCATTACATCAAATTTCTCCCAGAGAGATCCCCACTTTTTGATTCTCCCTGAGTTCTTTCATCTCCCTGAGTTAATCGTTGGGTTTTCTTTTGAAAAGTTATTCCATTTACGCTGAGAGGGTCTAAGAGCAGTGCTGTAGATTCTGTAATGTTCTATGAGACAAACATTTTGAATTTGGTAAATGTTTGATATTCTATGATTAGGCATTTCCTTCTGATTGTGGTTGACAAACTGAATGTTTTCTGATCAGAAAAGTTTGCTTTGAAAATAATTTCCGGTACACAGGCCTTAAACTCCTCACATTGGGATATAGAGATAACCAGAGACTAATACATGTATTAATATCTGCAGACTGCAGTGATGTAATCAGTACATGAAGGACAGATCTTTACCTGACATAAGCCTCTGTGCTGCTGGGCCCTTGGAGCTGATCCTCCATGAGGTAGGTGTTGTGGGAGGAGGAGATGAAGTAGTGGTTGAGGGGCTGATCCATGTCCTGGTACACCTCTCTGTGATCGGGGTTGAGGACCAAGGCCTCTGGATGGTGCATGTACATGAGGAAGCCATCTTTGGACAGCAGCTTATTCTCTTTGGCTAAAAGGACACAAGGACACGTCAAAAGTGACAAAGGAGCTAATAATTTATCCAGGAATTCGCAAAAGGTTCTTTGAAAGGATCAGAAAAAAATCAAAAAAAATCAAAATGTATAAACAAATGACCTGATTACACAGGTGCAAAACTATATGGGCTTGTTCGCGTTATACATTTTTACATCATGTCCTCAACTGTGGTGCATGTATGTAAAACATCCATAAAATACATTATAATGAGAAGCACCAACAACACTGAATAGACTGTGTTGACTGTCACTGGATATTGCTTTAGGTTGATGTATGTTGATATTGATAAGCTCTTGACATCAAAGGGCCCGTCTAACTTGTTAGCTGGCTTCCCTGCATGGTATTTGACTTTGTAAATGTTGATCTATCATCAGCAGGGCCGTCCCTCCCTACAGGCCGATCATGCAGGCTGCATGGGGCCTCAGGCCTCACATTGAGCTGACACGCGAGAGAGTGAGAGGTGACAAGGGGAGCACGTCTATAACCTGACACCGTTGCAATGAATCGACATCTGACCAATCACGGCGTTGATGTGGCCACTAGTGCAGGTGAAGAGATGTCGGCGAAAAGACAGTTTCAGTCCAGCGCAAGCAAGAGGGAAAAAAAACAAAACATGAAGAAACTAGAGCATCACTCGAAGGTGGGTTATTGTATGAGTCAAATGTACAACTTGCGAATGTTGTATAAGTCAAATTGCCAATTGCCATATTAAAACATCAGCTGCAATTCACAACATGAAGAACTTACTCATCTCACAATGTCGCTTGGGG